CAGCTGCTTCCTGCATGCCCCCACTGGGGATGTGCCCGCAACAAAGGTATATGCCCTTGACCGGAATCAAACCCGGGACCCTTGAGTCCGCAGGCCGACGCTCTATCCACTGAACCAAACTGGTTCTGGCGAAAGTGTATTTTTTAATATTAAGCAATAATCACTGTAATAACTCTAGGCATATTTCACGTATATAACAACAGCATGGGTCATGTTTAACATCCAGCATCACACATAGTTATAATTTTTTTTTTATGATGGGAACTTTTAAGACCTACTCTCAGCAACTTTCAGATATACAATAAAGTACTATTAACTATAGTGGCCATACTATACATTATATAGTATACATTATACATTTTGACCACCTTCACCCCCCTTCCCTCCACTCCCCACCTCTGGCAACCACCAGTCTGTGCTCAGTATCTATGAGTCTGTTTTCTGTTTATTTTGTTTTAGATTCTTCATAATTGAGATCATATAGGATCTGCCTTTCTCAGACTTTTTTCACTTAGCATAATGACTTCCCAAGTTTATTAATATTGTCACATATGGGGAGATTTCATTTTTTATGGCTGAATAACATTTCAGTGTGTGTGTGTGTGTGTGTGTGTGTGTGTGTGAGACATTTTCTTTATACATTCATCCATTGATGAACACTTTAGGTTGCTTCTGTGTCTTGGCTATTGTAACTAATGCTGCAGTGAGCATATAGGGGGGTGCATATATATTTTTTGAGTCAGTGTTTTCATTTTTCTTCAGATAAATACCCAGAAGTGAAATTGCTGGATCATATGGTAGTTATATTTTTAATTTTTAGAAGACAAGCCATACTGTTTTTCATAGTGGCTATACCAACTTACATTCCCACCAGCAGTGCACAAAGAATTCCACTTTCTCCACATCTTTGCCAACAATTTATATTTCATGTTTTTTTTGGTAATAGCCTTCTAACAGGTGTGAGGTAAGAGAGAAACATCTATTTGCATTTTGATTTGCATTTCTGTGACGCTTAGTGATACTGAGCGCATTTTCATGTACCTGTTGGCCATCTGTATGTCTTTGGAAAATAACTACTCAGATTCTCTGCCCATTTTTTAAATCAGATTGTTTAGGGTTTTGTTTGTTTGTATGTATTTTTTTTTGCTATTGAGTTGTATGAGGTCTCTATGTGTTTTAGATATTAATCCCTTATCAGACATATGCTTTGCAAATGTTTTCTTCCATTTGGTAGGTGCCTTTCATTTTGTTAATGGTTTCCTTTGCTGTGTAGAAAGATGCTTTTTAGTTTAATGTAGTCCCATTTGTTTGTTTTTGCTTTTGTTGCCTTTGCTTTTGGTCTGAGATCCTGAAAATCATCACCAATACTGATCTCAGAGAGCTTATCATCTCTGTTTTCTTCTAGGAGTTTTATGGTTTCAGGTCTTACATTCAAAGTCTTTATTCCATTTTGAGTTGATTTTTGTTTGATTTCTGTAAAAAATGCCATTGGAATTTTAATAGGGATTGCATTGAATCTGTAGTTTGCTTTGGGTAGTATGGGCATTATAACAATACTAGTAGCCCGGTGCACGGAATTTGTGCATGGGGATAGAGGGTGTTCCTCAGCCCGGCCTGCACCCTCTCCA